TTATATGACACAGTCAAACAACTCATCATTGAAATCTACCTTCCAATTAGGTTTTCAGAATCTGAAATGTTGTTGTCCTCTCATATATGGAATGTATTTAATACTCCCATTAGATAATGACCTTTAAATTTTTATTAGATCTTACATATCTGCTTTCTCAAATTGAACTTCCTGTTGTATCTCATGTAAGATTTAATACTTATTGTCACAGCTAGAGAACTCTCTTCTAAAAATGTAGTCTAAAAACTTCTTAGTTTTAATTTCTGTAACATTTTTTTCTAACAAATAACATCTTTTATTCCTTATTTCCATATCCACAGATGTCCTTTGTAAGATAGTCCCTGTTTTGAATAATAATCCTTTGATAATTGTTAAGCAGCTCAAAGATAAATCTTGGTTAGTTAATTGAAATTCTAAACAGATGAATTTTCTAATACTCTTCCCCAAATTTAAAAAAATATCAGATTTTAATCTCAAACATTTCAGAAATTATATATTTAATGAAGGCAATTTTTAAACTTTAAATCGTGTAAACACCACCACCTGCGAATTATTAACAACTTTTTCCACCTACCTTCCTTGAGTGCCTGCTGTTATTCATAATTCATATTCATAGGCTACTGAAAGATCATAAAAATGAATGAAATGTGTCCCTCCTCCAAGATCCTTATAGTCCAGAGAGGTGAACACGTGTACTCAGACAGTAAGCTGCATAAACACAAACATCAGGTCTGTCTGATTTACCACTCTGTCCCCAGGAGGTAGCACAGTGCCTGACGCATAGTTCGTCCTCAGGATTTATAGAGGGAAGGAATGAGTGAAAGAATGCATGAATTAAAAAAAACCCTTAAAAAGAGCATATTAGTAAAGTTAACAAGCAGTGATGTGTTATCAGGAGTCATTGCAAAATATTTCTCCTAATCACCTAATTGATCTCCCTGCTCTTTACTATGAATGGATTTTGGTTGGTGAGAATATATACGATCCAGTTATTTGGTTGATGTAAAACAATAAAATCTCTTATAAACCTGTAGTTTTTCTTAGTATCTTCTGGCTGGAGACCCTTTATACTTTTGGTAAAAAATAGGAAGTTTCAGATGTTATGATCACTTCACATTTTTACAAGTGAATTCTCAGGATTGCTAGCCATGTTTTTTCAGCATTTTTCACATAGGGTCGTATTTTACTTTTCTCTGGGTAGATTTCAGAAATAAACTCATTCTTTGTTAGAAATTCAGATGAGGTAAAACTATAAACATAATATTTAATTCTTATTTTATATTTGGAATTTTAAAATGCAGAAGAAATCATAAGATAAAATAGTGAAAAAAAAGAAAAGAAAGATTCTGTGAATTCAGGGAAGGGGAAAGGTTAGATTATTAGTGAATGACAACTTTCAATTTCCTTCCAGTTTCACTGATTTACTTTGCAACAGTTGGTTTCCTTCCTGAGTTTCTCCGTTGATTCCATGGCCCTGCTGTATAATGTGACGTTTGTTTGGGTGTACATGAAAGCTAGCAGGGTGGCCTGTGTATTGAGAATGTTCAGGGCTAATTACAGACACTGTGTGAACTCCCTGAAAATTCTTTTTGGAATTAGTTCTGACTCTGGCTGTCAGATAATGAATTAAGGGCTTGGGGGTGGGGGGTGGGGTGCATTTCTAATGAACCAGAATAATGTCTAGTTTTGTTTTTTTTTAAATTAATTTCTTTAACTGTATAAAGTAGCAAACAGCAGCAATCTCCTTATGGGTACACCTTTATGTATTTTAATAGTAAGATGGACAAGTTAGGCCCTCCACTTCGAACTGGAAGAAGTGTGCAAAGGTTATATGACAGTGATACAAAATCAGACAGTGCCGTCAAAAGACATGAGTTATTGCCCATTTACAAGTAAGTATTTGTAACTCAGTTTGGTTAATCTCGTTCACGTATTTCCTTCAAAGGCTTTAATATACCAGGATACCATAACTTGTACATTCCTATACTAAAGAAATCTTAGTTTAATTATTTTATAATCAAAAAGTTCTAAATATTTTTTTAGGACTTAAAACATTTTGATTTTTTTGGTGAACACTTCTATCTAAATGAAGCTCTTTTTAGAGCACACATTTTATTCCATTAAATTTTTATTTTTAAAGTATTGAAATATCAGTCTCCTGTAATAATTGTTATTTTTATGAAGCATTTTTTTGGAGGAGTATTTTTAAAAACAAACATATGTGGGATATTATGCCATATGTATTATATAATACTGATTTTCTTTAGTTAAGCAGATGGTGAATTATTATTAAAAAGTCAGAAAAAAATGATATGAGAAAGCATTCAATCTTGGGAACCTTAGGCTTTTTGTTAGACAGAAATATTCATAGATTCCATGTGAAAAAGGGAAAGGTAGCACACTGCCAGACACACTCCTCTGTGTCCTAGTAGCCTAGCAGATGAGCAGAGAGGTGAGCGTGTCATGGCGATCATTCTGGAACTCTACCAAATGAGGCTTCAAGACTTGGCTGGTTTGGGCCCCAACACTGGCTCTAGTGCTAGCATTTTTAAATGATGAAATCAGGGCCTAAAAAATTAAATGCTTAATACTGAAAAATAAATTACTAAACAAACTTGACTTCGTTAACTTTTAAACCGAAGCCTTCTACAACATTCTGCCTACTTTGTATAAAAATGAATAGTAAATATATAAAAATAAAATGAGGTTGGAAAATCTTTGAGATCTTTGTAATAGCCATGTGTTATTTTTAATTAGTGATCAATTCTAGAAGGAAGGCTTTTTGATCTGTGAGCCTTTTTCCTTTGTCCTACTACTACTGTCTGTACCCTCTGAAGCAAATCTCAAGGAAACCCTTCATAGTAAGTCAAGTGAAGTACATTCTAAAATCAAATTTTCTTTTTTTATTTATTTGAGCTGGAACAGGCAGATTCTAGATAAAGAATAGGGATAGCACTTTTTAGCGTCTGGCCAGGAAGAAAAGTGTGTTGACTGTTCGGGCAACATGTTTTAAGTATTTATCAAAATAGACAGTTCTTCCAGTTCTTTTGAGAATGGTTCTTGTCGTTCAGATTCAGTATTAGTTCTTTACCAATTCTTATAAGATGTTACTAAAAATAGATAGGCACTTAATAATGGCTACTTTTAATGTTGATAATCTCATATTTTCTCTAAACACTTTGAACAACTTTAAGTTATTGATACAATGAAGTCGTGTGAGTATCTACATGGATGTGTTTGTAGCTCATTTACCTATTATATGAAGGTGATAGGATTTCTACAAAGACTATATTCCAGAGCCATAAAATGTACTTTCTTTTCCCTTTTGAGTCTCACCAGAGAATTCCCATTCCTTGACAGTGAATATTTAGAGAATGGCTTCCTGAAGAGGCAGAATAGAACAACCTCATGGTTGCATTTGCAACTGACCATTTGAAGACCACTTGAAGTGGTCCAGAGCAACCTTTGCTTTTCAGGTTTAGAAATAATGACTTAAAGAAGTAACTGCTCAAAGCAACTTTTTCTCTGAATGGCGACATCACATACTGCTGAATGTGAGCTTTGAAATACAACCCACCTAGGTTCAAGTACTCTGCCATGTAGTTATTCTGCAACTTACTTAATCTCTCTGAACCTGAGTTTCTTCAACTTTAAAATGACAGTAATATTTTTTGAGATTTTTGTGAGGATAAAACAGAGTGGCACCATAGTTGACATGTCGTAGGCATTTAACAATAGTAAATGTTGCTATTACCTGTGTGCAATTTGGAGGTAGCTGTTTAAAATTTTAGGGCACTCTCTTCAACTTTGCTGTATAAATAGAAGAAGAAGAATTTCAGCCAAAGTTGAAGAGCTTCCAATCTAAATGAATTCTTATGTAACACAATATTGCTTAGCCGTGAAATGGAAAGATTTGACTAAATCTTTAAAGAGGGAGAAGGAAACTAATGCTTTGTTGAGCATCTGAACCCTGAAACATACTGGCTGTGTCACCTTTGTTTAGTTACTTAATCGTGCTTTGCCTCATTGACCTCATCTGTATAGAATGATTGTAAGGATTAAATAAGTTAGTATATAGAAGGCAATTAGAGATACAGCATGTAGTAAGCACTATTATAGAAATTCCTACTTGTAATAGTAGCAAAAGCAGCAGTAGTAATAGTATCATCAACTAACCAAATGTTTTATACAATTTATATTCCATAACATTTCTATAAGATAAGTGATGATGATCACATTTTATCAGTAAGAGAACTTGGTTTCAGAGAGGTTGACCGCTATCACAGAGCTAGTCAGTGGCTGTTGGAAAATGAATCCAGAGCCATCTGAATCCCAAAGTCTGTATACTTGTACCATTAGATTATTATATCTTCTTCTAAGCTTTCTTGGATTCCTAAATTTTCTCAAAGGGAGTCCAGTGATGATCCACCCAAAGTGCCTCCTCTGCTGATATCAGATGGTCCAGGTTGTGTATTTGGTGAAATTAAATCTTTAAAGGGAAAATTGTATTGACCCAATTATATAGTTACTGTTCCAAGAACAGACTTTCAAAAATTGAATGTTATTCTGTTAAAGTGGTTAACTAATGTTTCTTTTTTTTTAAATCACGTTTTATATGCTTGGATAATAATAAAACTTGTCTAATGTATTATTTAACAATTATACATAGGCATTTAACAAAACTTTTTTTTTTGAGGCAATTATACATTGAGATTTTTTTTTTTTATTTGAGACCTTTCAGAATTAACTTAAAAGTTTCATGTAAAGCATGTATACATATTTTATTTTTATGTGCCTTCAGGATAATGTTAGTAAATGCAAAACGGCCTTGGTTTATTCTTAACTGTTTGTTTTCAGACTTATTTATGTTTTAATTGTCTATCGAACTTACCTCTCTCTGTCTTCTCATTACTTACCTAATCATGCAGGTAGGCAATTTGAAAAATAAAAGTTGACTATTCAACACTTTTTTCATTATGCTGTCTCTTTTTCCCTTTTAGAGCTAACATCAAATCTCGAAGTTCCACACCACCGAGTTTGGCAAGAAATCCTGCCTCAGGTGTGCCTACAAGCAAAAGAAAAACATATACTGAGAGCTACATAAGCAGGTATGTTTAGCTCTACTATCGTAATAACTAAAATGAAAATGATTGTAATTTTCCAGGGACTGTACACCAAAATATGTATCTGTCTCTCTGATCTTTCCTTTGCTATATGATTTAATTTTTCTTTTAATATATAAACTGAAGAATTAGTTTGGTCATAAATAATAGTTTTTATCTACCTTGTAGTTACAATTGTTGTTAATGCTCAAAGACAGTTTGTTCAGTTCCACTGGATTTATTGTTTTTTTTGGTCTTAATTTTAACTACAGTGTTGTTGTTTTTACCTATACGAATTGAATAATAGATCCTTTGAGCCACTGTTATTTTATTGTAATTTTCAACATCATTTTAATACATTTAAACTGACCTCTGAGGTTGTGATTATGTACATACTTCCCACTTCCATTTCTGACCTGCCTTGGTACTTGCTCAGCTTTGACGTTCACTCTGGTTTCGAGCGTATAAGGAAACTGTCCCATTACTGACATTTGTCGTATATACCCAAACTTATTCCAGAAATTTTTAAGGCAACATACATAAGTACTTAAAGTACAGTGAGGTACAACAGTTTGAAACATGGAAGAAGAATAGGGAAGGAAAGGAAAAATAAAAATCAAAAAATATCATAGAAGCAGGGGTGAAGTTAGTCCACAAAATACGTGCCATGAGACCCTGTACGTAGGCTGGCCCTGGGCCACAGACTGGGGCCTGAGCATCGTAGCACACAGCATACAGAGGAAGATAGGGGTCTTCATCTAGGATTCATGGTGTCTATAAAAGAACGTCCAGCCAGTCTCTCTGGAGAAGCACAGCTAGTCCTGAGGCCTCAAAATTTCTCCCGTGCGTTCTCATAAAGAGGAGAATGTACTGGGTAACTTGTTCATCGGCATTCCTACTGTAAATATGGCAATACACGTCATAGGGTGTTTTCTAATAACTATCCATAATGGCTTAATTATGATTTAATTCAGGGATAGATGTTTGAGTATCTGAGATACCAGCTCCACCCTGGCTGCTCATCAGTCACCTGTGGAACTTTCTAAACACAAACTTGCCTGAGTTCCTCCCAGAGGTTCGCATTGCTTTGGCTTGGAGAGTGGGATCTGGGCAGCTGCCATTGGAAGAGCTTCAAGGACGATGCCTGCACAGCAGGGGGTGAGACCCGCCGAGGATAGGTGAATTGCTGTCTTCCCGCCGGACTCTAATAAATGCTGCTTGTTTCAGCGGGGGTTCTGATACACTTCAGATGTCAAAGAAGTGAGCTTACGTTTCTCGGAGCACTGGAGTGTAGCCCTTCTCTGTTGTTGTGTATGTGTGGAGGCAGGTGTTTTGGATCAGAGCTGATTCAAAATGATTTCAAATTTTATGAAAATGGAGAATTTAATAAATAACACATGCTTGAATAAAAGGATCATCTTACCTCTCCAAAGAGGCGGACAAAAGACGTGCCTACAGGCAGGGGCAAAAATCACGTTAAGAAATAATTTTGAATTCTTTTTTTTTTTTTCCTTTTTCTTTCTTTTTAAGTGGTTGATATCTGATAGGAAACCCAGAGCCATGCTCACTTGCCTTTCACTTACTAACCCAGCCCCTACCCCAGATAAAAATAATATAACCATGACAGGTGAAGAAATTAGAGATTTCTGGTTCTGGTAGTGTGACAGACGACATATCCTAGAAGACCCCTCCTCTAAAAACACCTAGAAATGGTGGATAAAATAGAACGTACTTCTCATTGAATGCATAGCTGTGTTCTCAGAAAAGTAAGGGAACAAAAATGTAAAGGAAGCTAGAGGTCAGATTGGTAAATTAACCCAACACTGCAGCCGTATATGAGGTTTTTGACTGATCTTCATGATCTCAAGGCTTGGGTTTTAATGTCATTGTAGGAGAGAGGAGTTAAGTTCTTGGACTTGTAGGAACTAGAGCATTAGTAACTCAGCTTCACCATCCCACATGCCTCTCACTTTGAGTTCACCAAGGGATCTTCTTAGGCCCATCTAGAGAGACTTACATGACTATATCACATTTGACATTGGAGTCACTTATAAGAAATGTAGAATAATAAGGAACCCTAGTGGCACAGTGGTTAAGTGTTCAGCTGCTAACTGAAAGGTTGGTGCTTTGAACCCAGCTGCCGCTCCAAGGGAGAAATGTGTGACAGTCTGCTTCCATCAAGATTACAGCCTTGGAAACCCCATGGGCCAGTTCTGCTCTGTCCTATAGGGTAGCTAATGAGTCAGGATTGACGTGACAGCAATGAATTTTTGGAGCCCTGGTGGCACAGCAGTTAAAGCACTCAGCTGCTAACCGCAAGGTCAGTGGTTCGAACGTACCAGCCGCTCCGTATGTGAAAGATGTGGCAGTCTGCTTCCGTAAAGATTTACAGCCTTAGAAACCCTATGAGGCAGCTCTGCTCTGTCCTGTAGGGTCGCTATGAGTCAGAATCAACTCGATGGCAGTAGGTTTTTTTCTGGTTTTTAAGAAGCTACTAACCCAAGACCATTTTAGTTTTTTTCCAGTTAAGAATTTTTAGAATATGCAGATACTGTATTTTCAGACCTTAAACTCACGTGAAGACGAACCTGTAGTTACGAGTTATCAGGGAGAACTCCTGCATCCCTCTGAGACATGGCTGAGACGGGTTTTCTATTTCTAGTTGGTGGATTTTTTTTCCCTAGTCCATCCTTTCACTGAGGGATAACTCCTTGAGTATTGTGAGAAAAGGGTTAATAAAACCTGTCATGGATTGAATTGTATCCCCCCAAAATAATGTGTCAGCTTGGTTAGGCCATGATTCTCAGTATTGTGTGGTTGTCCTCCATTTTGTGATTGATGTAATTTTCCTATATGTTGTAAATCCTAATCTCTGCCTGTGGTTAATGAGGCAAGATTAGATTATGTTTAAGAGGATTAGGGTGGGATGTAACACCCTAACTCAGGTCGCATCCCTGATCCAGTTTAAAGGGAGTTTCCCTGGGGTGTGGCCTGCACCACTTTTTATCTTACAAGAGATGAAAGAGAAGCCAACAGAGAGCGGGGGACCTCATACCACCAAGAAAGCAGTACCAGGAGCAGAGCACATCCTTTGGACCCGGGGTTCCTGCACGGAGAAGCTCCTAGTCCAGAGGAAGATTGATGACAAGGACTTCTCTCCAGAACCGACAGAGAGAAAGCCTTCCCCTGGAGCTGGTGCCCTGAAGTTGGACTTCTATCCTACTAGACTGTGAGAGAATAAACTTCTGTTTGTTAAAGCCATCCACTTGTGGTATTTCTTTTACAGCAACACTGGATGACTAAGACAAAACCCTTTTTCCTCTTCTATGAAAAATTTGAAGACAATTCTTAGCTTTGTTTCAATGAAACTTAATGAAGGTGTAATATCAGTTGTGTTTCCAGGCAACAAGGGTTATAGGCAGTCCCTTGAAACTAGATTATCCCTTGGGGTGACCTGGACGCTATGTCTGTGAGTCTGTTATAACAGAGAATGGTTCTTTTGGGGGACATGGAATTTCTAATTAAATTGGTTCCACACCTGCTTATAAGATCTCCTTCTCTCACACCTAAACTGTCATTTGGAGGGTCAAAGATTAGCTTTAGGACTGCTGCAAGGGCTCCGTGGAAGAGAAATGCTTGACACTACCCTTCTATTATTCTATTAAAAAAAAAAAAGAAAAAACCACTGCCGTCAAGTAGTGGCTTCTTAGGAGAAGCAAAAGCCGGTCGGGTTGAGTGTGAAGTGTTCATAACCCAGGCTTTCCAGTTCTCGCAGATGTATCTAAGAAACGTAAGCTCACAATTCCAAATTACAAAGCACACAGGGACTTCCAGACAACACAAAGAAACAAGCAATCAGTAATGAATGTGGGTTAGCAGAAAACAGAGAGCAGTGTCCATGACTTCAGATATTGAAATGATCAAACCCAGACTATTCGATAAGAGGGAATTGAAATTATTAACATATGCCATAAAAATTTTCAAAATAACCAAATAAGACTTCTCAGCAGAGGAAAGGAAGAATGGAATTATTTATTTTCAAGACAGTGAAGCTGGTTTATTTTCTCTTGGCATTCTTCCTTGATTGGGGTTATGTCTCCCTAATCCATTACTATCTTCTTTATGCTTTAAAGGGACTATACTGAGAGCTATAAATTTGTCCATATCTAAGAGATGCCTCTTGATTCAGAAGATGGTAGTGACTCTACAGCTCTCTCCTGGAGTTGAAAGGAGAGGAAACAAAGCATAGCACATAAAATGCTGTCATTTGGCCTTATTTTCATTTCAGTGACCTTTAGATCTCTAGTGAATTTTATAAGAAAGCGAGTAAATTTTTTTTTTTCAGTCACCCCTAAGCTGCTTGCATACAAGAATTGTCCAACAGTTCCCTTTAGGATGACTCTTCCAGGAGGAGGTGTGAAGATGCTATTACAGGACTCAAGAATCTCTGCTTACGGTTAATTAAATGTTTCACCAGTAGAGTCTGTATTTCCTCCTTGACTATCTTCTGTGATAAGACTTTTATAACATCAAGCATTTTGCGCTAAACTCTTAAACTATAGTATCTAGAGTCTATTTTACCTTCACGGAGATACCTTGTTTAAGCAAGCTCACCCTTCCAGGGGATACACAGGGTCTCATTGAATATTTACTGCATTGTAATAATTTAATAGAACAGTAAAATTAAAATGAATACAATAAATACTGTGAGTATCATCCAACAATTTTTGTGACCAGGGAGAAGACCTTTCTGTTCCCATTGTAGTAAATGGCTAGTGCCCAGAGCAGATGGAAAGCATGTCTGCATTTGGTCATGAAAAATCCTCCCAGCAGGGACAGGTATAATGCTAACGAAAACATTCACAACTACAGTATTGACTAACAGGTGTTCTTTTTTTAAAAATCTGAAGAAAAATAAGTTTCAACAAGCTTTTGGTTGTACTTAATATTATCTCCTTTTTCCCAGGGGTTATGAGTTGAAAACTACTCACGTATACTTTGTTTTTCCACTTTCTTTCTGGACTTCAGGCCAGATGGAGACTACCTATCTTCACTTAATGGTGGAAACATTAAAAGCAGTGAAGGAAATTCATCCGGACACTTACCAAAATTTTGCCACGAGTGTGGGACCAAATACCCTGTAGAATGGGCCAAGTTCTGCTGTGAGTGTGGCATTCGAAGAGTGGTTCTGTGAATGAAGCCCGAGGTCCAGAGTTGTACGACAATAGCTGCTTGGATGCTAGAGCACTCCCTTATTTTGTGCTAAAAACATTCAAAATACCTTTTTCAGTAACTTTTGGAGCATAATCCTTTGGCTGTGTAATGCGTGTATATATATATGTGTATGTATACTGTATATAATAAGTGCCTGATACCCCATTCTGGAAATGTTCACTTAAGCTGTCAGAAAATAATTTCGGATGGAATCATTGACTTAGACGTGAACTTCTCGGTGGTGGTGTGAAAGCACGTTAAGTGACTTCCCCAAACTCAGACTCTAGTCTTAGCCCTGCACTCTTTAGGATAATCGTTATGGAGCAGAAAAATCAGAGTTATTTGTTTTTATCGGTGCCTGTCTTTGAATAGTATCATAATAGGATGGGATGTTGGAATTTTGTATTTGAAGATAATATTTTTAGTCACAAATAGTCATGTGAGATCATCTTCCTGCGGAGCTCTTGAACACCTGATTTTATGAATCTTAAAAAATGCGAGCCAAAAACAAAAAAAGATGAGGTCTGTTTTCCTTTACTTAGTGTATTATTAGTTAAATAATTTAAATATTCTTACTTATTTTTTGAAAATGTAATTATGCACTTTCCTTTTCAGATAAACAAATGAAAGCACAAATGTATCTTCTGTTTATAACTGATTTTTAATTCTGTGCATGAGTTAAACATAGATTCTTTCTACCTTTGTGTCTCTCAATTTCACATTTTTCCTTCTTTCCCTAACCTCGTGTCTGAATAGTGGTCTTAATATACTAATTCGTTGGTTGCAAAATATGAAAATATAATTATTTAATGTACAATGCACAAAATTCCTTGCAGAATCTTACATGTTGAAAAATGTTTTCTTTCTATATGTCTGAATTTAAAAGAAATTATTTTAACAGATTTTAAAATAAATCACCTCAGCTAATAAATAATAATTGTGGAAATTAATCATTAGTGCAGGGCATGCAGGTAAAAAGTATTTGAATTTTAGTCCCTTGAAGTACAGTTGGATGTAGCTATGAGGTTATCAGAATGTCTAATTTTTCCGACTCGTATTTTCTTCTGTAGTGTTTAGTGTTGAAACACCATTTAAATTACAATAAAAAGCCACTGAAAATGTATTGTTATAGTGTGTAGTTGATTTGTTATGTAATTAAACATACACAAACATTACATTATATTACAGTTTCTCCTTAACTTTGACTAAAATTCAGCTTTTAAAGTCATTGTCATTCACAGTGCAACAACGTTTAGTAATGGATCTCTTTGATTGCTTATGCAGCCATATTCAGTAGTTCTCCAGCAACTTCTGGTCAACCCTAAGAGTGCTTGGATCTTATTTTCAAGGTACAAGCAGATCTTTTGTATTTTAGGCAATTGCTAATTCTTGTTTATGATTGTAATGAGCTATAAGGATCAGCATAGAAATTTGTGGCTTAGAATGTTTTAACCCTGAAATTTATTTATGCTTATACTTTATAATTTTATTTATTCATTGGTACATTTTTTTTTTTAAGTTTGGGCAAGGGAGTATAGACTTAGTGGTAATGGGATTGTCTTTTGAGATGCCTTCTGATTTCTGATTTTTGTTAGATGGCTTTTGTTTGTTTTTTCTGGTTATCGTTAATCATACTGGTCCAAAAAATCAATCAATCAAACAAAACTGGTCCAACAACTAGAATAAACTGTAATAAATTCAGGAGACTAGTGTACATATCAGAATTCGATTTCAGTAAGTTCTGTTTCTTGTCCTAATTGTTATAACTCGTATGAAGAAGAATGGTAAACTGTTATCTAGATCTAAGCACTGTTTTCTCTCAAGTACTGCTTTTAAGGCCACATGCTTTTTTGGTCTGCAAAGGAAGAGTAGATAAACGAGTGTGAATTAAACTGGCCAGATTTGTTTCTCGCCACATTTTACAGTAGCAAATAAATGTTTAAATGTACTACATGGGAACTGAGTTGGTAAGAAATCCTCTAGTTCCAGATCCCAGAGATTATTATAGACAATGAGTAGGTGAACTATGTATGAATTATGAAATGTGTGACACTGTATTTATATGCATTTTTGTATTATTTTCACATTATCCTCACATTGGTTTCTTGTGCAATAGTTCGGTTTTTAAGAAATTTTCCTAGATCTGTGTATGCATCATTTATTTTCAAAGGTATTCGTCAGTGTTGTAGAATAAAAAATGATTTTAAGCTTAAATTTAAAATGTAAAAATTGCTTATATATTATTCTGAAAGCTATTGGCTTGAAAAAGTAAGATTATAGTGTCTACTGTTGTCCCTTGTTCACTATATATATTTTTTATTTACAAATAATGTCTTCATTTTTGAACCTATTCAATAAAGACATGAAGCATAAAAATGCCACCTGGTATTCATTGGTGTCTTTTTAGCCAGCCTTATGTAGAAAGATAGGAACACACTAAAATATGAAAAATAAATGCTGAAGTGAAAAATGCAGATTTTTCTGTGAGAAAGGTTTTCATCGCCAGTTTTTTTAATGACATTGGCTTATTAAGCAAGTTATTACTATTTTATCGGACTGAAGTGTTTTAGAACTTTAAAGTATTCTATAAATCACACCTAACAAAGTATAGAGATGTTTTTCCCACACGTTTTTTAAGGCACAGAAGCATTCTCTCATAGCCAATATGGTTTAGCATTTGAAAACATCAGTGACATCAATGCTGATGGTAAATATTATGGATGTTTCTAGCTAAGTAATAAACAGTTTAATGGCAGAAAGCTAAAAGTTTGTGATGAATATTATTTAGACTACTCATACTTAAAATTGTAAAAAGTAGCTATCTCTAGTGAGAATATGACCAGATTCAAAAACCGAACCACAACCGTTGCCATCCAGTTAACTCCGACTCATAGTGACCCTATGGGACAGAAACCACCACTTCTTTCTCCCTGGGAGCGCCTGGTGGGTTCCAGCCGCCCACCTCTGGTCAGTCCCCGAGCACTGGAACCATTGTGCTGTTGCCATACCCATCGAGTTGATTCAGACTCATAGTGACCCTATAGGACAGGTGAAACTACCCCCCGCAGGGCTTCCAAGGAGCAGCTGGGGGATTCAAACTGCTGGCTTGTGGGTAGCAGCCGAAACTCCTGACCACTGCGCCGCCAGGGCTCCGTTGTCAGGATGTTCTTGATTCATAGTTTTGCTTGGCTTATATGTGAATTGCTTTTCGGCCACTAGAGGGTGCTTTTGGATAATTTCATATTTCTAGTCTTTTTTTTTCAGGCCTCTCTATAACATACCAAACCCGTTGCCGTGGGGTCGATTCCGACCCATAGCTACCCTATAGGCATGATTTATTTGAGAATATGAAATTACAGAGATTTATGACAGGTAATTTTTATTGATTTAATAACCCATAAGCTGATTTCTTGGAAACCTAAAACCTATTGCCGTCAAGTCGATTCTAACTCCTAGGGACCCTACAGGACAGACTAGAACCGCCCATACGCTTTCCAAAGCTGTAAATCCTCACGGAAGCAAACTGCCACATCTCTCTCCTCCTGGCAGCTGGTGGGTTACAAGTGACAACCTTTCGGTTAGCAGCTGAGCACTTAACCACAGCGCCACCAGGGCACCTGTGCTCTGTCTTTCGGGGTCACTATGAGACAGAATCGACTCAAGAGCACGAAACAACAACAGAGTGTGGGCAGAAAATTACCACTGGGGACAAAAATAAGCAACTTATTTTAATGGCACTTTATTATAAAGATATCAAGGGAAGTGCCGCGGAAGTGTTAAAGAGGATCCCATCACCAGAGGCTGTTCCCCTAATTCCTGCTTTCTCTTTCCTTCCCTTTCCTAGTGCTTGAGCTGCCCGACATTTTAGTGAGGAAAAGGAAGACGCAGGTGGAAGGAAAGGGATGAGTGTGGTGCCCGGGGGTGGGAGGTGGGGCCAGTCTAAAATGTGAACTGCTTCTACTGCCCTGAGAACTAGTGAGGAAAACAGAAAAAACCCCATTGCTCTCGAGTCAACATAGCGACCCTATTAGGACAGCGTAGAACTGCCCCATAGGGTTTCCAAGGAGCTGCTGGTACTGCCGACCTTTTGGTTAGCAGCTGAGCTCTTAACCACTGCGCCACCAGAGCTCCCGTTGAGAAAAAGTTACGCTGAATAAAAGTTACTGGTAATTGCATCTGTTCAATCTTAGTCTTACCTGTAAAATTTTTTTTAGATTAAATGCGGACTCTTTTTTAGCTTATTGTGTATATTTCCACCACTAACCTAGTTTTTTAAAGTTTTCTTTGAATTTTTCTTTAGACCCTTAGGCTAACCTAACGTCACTGGAATTTTTACAAAAGACGAAAAAATGCATACATGTCTAGCATGGAAAGCAAAGATCAGTGAATAGTCTGTTTTGGAGAAGTGAACACTAAATACAGCAGCAAAGGTCTAGAGAAAAGCAGAGCATACTATGAAACAGTAACCAAAATGGACATCTGTATCTATAGATCCTAAATCTGTAGGACCAAGCAAGCTAGTTTCTAAGAAATGCAAAGTAATAACTTATATGCTTCCCTTTTCTCCCTCTATCCGAACACCTCTGCTTCTACGTCTATTTGGGAACGATAACGGTAAGGCTGCAGATAAGAGAGAGCCAACAGGGCATTGTATCTTGGTGTGTGCAATCCTTCATTCAGTACACCCCAGGAAGAAAAGGAAACAAACCCTGGAAAAATGCATGCTGAGGGAGCAGTGGGGGAGTAGGAACGTCAGAGATTCCTGATTCTAATTACAGAGAAGTTACAGCTTTCTTGCCATAGTCTGGGGTCTAAATTACTATAGCAGAATGGGCTATGAGAACATTTAAAGAATGAGAAAGTAATAAAACATACAAAGGAGACTGAAAATAAAGACAATTCTGTGTGCATCTCTGTTTTAGTGTTTTGAAAATCTTAATGAAGCAGTCTATTTTCCAGGAACAATGAAATAAAATGGCATCAAGAAGAAATGGAAAATCTAAATCAGCGAGTCATAATCAGGTAAACAAAAATGGAAATAGTTATCAAAGAGTGGCCCCCAAAGATAATTGTGGGACCAAATAGAGTAATTTCACTCAAAATTTTAAGAAACAGGTAATTCCCAAATTATGCAAATGTTTTCAAAGTCTATTAGATAGACAATTTACGTATTAATTTCAAAAAACTAACACATACTGGACCAAAATCTGATGAGAGCATGAAAGAAAATTGTGGACTAAACAGACTGGTTGACACCGTCCTAAATAAAAGACCAGGAAACAAATGGAGAACAGATGGGAAAAAAGTAGGTTGAGTCCCAAAATGCAAGGATGATTTAATTCAGAAATCAATCAAAATAATAGCATTGTATCAGAATTTAATAGGTAAAACCATGTCTTTGAGTATATGCTGAGAATGTATTTGATAAAATTAATCCCCCTTTCTGATGAAAACTTATAAAATAGGAATGGATATTCTTATTATAAGAACAAGATTCTTCCTTGACATGACTTAAAAAAAAAAATCTCAACACTGAAATGCTGATTTTTGGTTATCAAACAAGCAATCTTACAATAAAACTGAAAACTTCGATAAGGCATTAAGATGAATGCCCTTATCTGCTGATGATGGAAATATAAATAGATATTACTTTTTGAAAAAGTTAGTTGTCAATTTACTTTAAGAGCTCATAAAATATGCATGCCTCATAACCTAGTAATTTTATTACTAAGACTCATTCTTAGGGAAATAATCTGAAGTATAAAAACATGTTTATGCAGCAAACGTTTAACAGAACTATTATATCCATGAGAAATTGAAGAACAACTTAGTAAATTAGTCATTAAAATACTTTAAAAGAATTTGTAATGGCATAACAATGTTATGTTTTATGGCTAAGAGAGACAAGCTCGTCTAGAATTGCCTGTGTGAGAAATATGATTCCAATTATGTAAAAAAAAAAAGCACAGATAGAAGACTTAAAGTATATTCCTCAATATATTGTGTTTGGGAGCCCTGGTGGCACAATGTTTGGCTGCTAACCAAAAGGTCAGCAGTTCAAATCCACTAGCTGCTCCTTGGAAACTCTATAGGGCAGTTTTACTCTGCCCTATAGGGTCACTGTAAGTCGGAATCGACTCAATGGCAACAGGTTTCGTTTTGCTTTTTTATTGTGTTCGTTTCTGCTGGAAAGATTTTGGTAAGTTATATTTTCTTTTTATTTTTTATACTGTCAAATTCTTAAATGAGTGTGTATTACTTTTATAATCTTTAGAAATAACTTAGAGAGGGTTACATTTTCCACAACTCATCACTTACACGTGACAATATTTTTTATCTAAAATTACTAACTCTCCTTCCGTTGTTTTCTAACATTCACATGTTCACAAAAGTAGATGATAGCCCTTGTGATCTAGCTAAGCTAGTTTCAGTGCTTACCGTGTATCACTGAATATGGTGTCCGTCCACTGTAGGGATTTTAATGAGATTAATTCATATTATTTCCTGAATTTCATTCAAAAAGACATTCAAGTAACGTTTTTGTTTTTCTTCTTAACTCTTTTATCACCTGAGATCAGAAGAGTCCAGGGAATTCAAGTAAATTTTTATTGCATGGAGAGTAAAGTACAAATCAAACCTGGACTAAATATTTAAGAGGTGTTTTGCCGGGAACAAAACAGTGGTTAACAACGGTTAAGAGCTCGGCTGCTAACCAAAAGGCCAGCTGTTCGAATCCACCAGCTGCTCCTTGGAAACCCCATGCGGCAGTTCTACTCTGTCCTACAGGGTCGCTATGAGTCGGAGTTGACTTGATGGCAATGAGTTTCGTTTTTTATATGTATGTGTGTATGTGTGTATATAACATTGTATATAACATTTAGATCTGATTTCACATGTTGGCTATTGTAATTATCATTAAAATTTTTTTTAATTAAACTTATTTTCTTGTGGTAATTATTTTAGTCAAGGAAAATACCTTAAGACCAGAAAATTTTTTAAATATATTTTTACTTTTACTAATCATCTCAAACTTACAGATCTGGTAGGGAAAATTCATATGAACCACTTGAGGGACTTTAGGAATACCATTTTATTTTAAACACTGATTTCTCAAGGGCAATTCTCTTTGAAAACATGCTATTCAACTATTAATTTGAAAATTTAGAACAATAGGTTTATTTTTCAATATCGGTCTCACTATAGATGACATCAAAACACCATCTGAAGAAGCTGCGTGCATACAAGAGCAGATCTGTACTCTCCATGGAGTCCTGTACTCACGTGTTCTTCCCTCTTGGTGAACATTTGTATGGTTCCTCCTCTTCCAGCCGTAGGAAGATTATTTCTCATTGCCGTTACCAGAAAGCTATTATATGGGACGGGGAGGAGTCTTTTCATTCATTGGCACAGATATTTTACCATGGTTTAAATAGAAAACATGGGACAATATTAGAAACTGAAACACTCTTCTCTCCAGGTCACACTGACTAGTGAAAATTATGTCCATTCGTGATGCATTGGAAACCTAAATCTTGCTGCTGTCTGTATGGGCGTTCGCCACGTTTGCGTCCAGCATCTTTCATACATCCTACCTTTGGTGAATGTCCAGATTGAATTACACCACCTCAGAATTATAAAATTTACTTTCCCCCCTTTCTTGCAGCTAGGGAACAGACGTGTCACTTGGGACCACCACTCAGAATTTGATTGTGAAGCAAGCCCTGTGAAGCTGCAGACACCGCAATATCCATTTTCTATTGGGGGTGGCAGAGTTTAGTGGAGACACTGAGCTTCAAAGGCAGAAGTGGCAGAGAGCCAGGAAGTGGCACCCTTACTGTAAGCTGCAGCCTGTGCCCCCTGGTGGCAATTGCAGGATTCCTAAGCTGACGGTCCTCCACTGGAGTACTCTGTCAGCATAAATTGGATATTGTTTCTGGCTGAATAGCTTCCACACTTGATTATCTGCTTCTCCCAGAGATTCTGTGAATTACCGAATAAATTCCTTCTTGCTTAAACTAACTAGACTGAGAT